TGTGTGTGTGTGTCTAAAATACACACAGAGGGGCGCCTGGGTGGCTCAGTCGGTTGAGCGGCTGACTTCAGCTCATGTCATGATCTCACGGTCCGTGAGTTCGAGCCCCGCGTCGGGCTCTGTGCTGACAGCTCAGAGCCTGGAGCCTGTTTCAGATTCTGTGTCTCCCTCTCTCTGACCCTCCCCGTTCATGCTCTGTCTCTCTCTGTCTCAAAAATAAATAAACGTTAAAAAAATAAATAAAATAAAAAAATAAATAAAATACACACAGAAACACTAAATATATACAAAAGTGAGAGCTATGGTTTTGCATAATCAAAACCTTATTTTTTATGGTGTGATACATCATGGCACAGTAATCATAGTACTTTTCCACCTAAAATATGTGTAGCCATCTGGAGTTGGTTTGGGACATTTAACATCCCCTCGTGACTAGCATCCCAATATGTACTATCCATTCGATTTCACGTTCTCACACTTGTCAAAATTATTTAATAAATCATATCATGATGGTTTTTCCTCAAGCCCATATTTGGACTTCCTTTCTAAACTGTGCCCTTTCTTGGGGCGCCTTGTGGCTCAATCAGTTAAGCGTTTGACTTTGGCTCAGGTCATGACCTCACTGTTCATGAGTTCGGGCCCTGTGTCAGGCTCTGTGCTGATAACAATGAGGATGACTTCAACATAAATTCTGGATTACAATGTAAAATTTCAATACACCAGCAGAGCCAGGGTATGGATTCTTAAGTGACACCTAAACTAGCTCAAATTAGTGGTCCTAAATATCAGTTTAAAATTTGAGTAGACACAACCTACTTATTTAAAGTGAAACAGAAAAGTGGAATTATTTCAAAAAATTATGCTCTTAGTTAAAATTTTATATAAGACTTAGTACAATATGTGGGAGTGTCACAAATGGAATGATTAAATATGACTAGAGGAGGAGAAAAGCTTCCTGGATGAGATGGAATTTTAGTCATTTGTGTCTCATGTAAAATTAGATACTGTGTACATTAAGCAAATGGCAAGAAAAAAAATTCCAAGTGAGTCTCTTTTTTTTTCCTTCAAGACTTCTACAAATTGAGGTATCTGGTGTAGATTTACTTCAGGTTTTATGTTGTTTTTTCCATTAGTGCTAAGAATGTATGGCTTAATTGAACTTTTTATTCTCCACTTTGCTATCTTTCTCTTTTTCTCTCTCCTTCCTTCTTCCATCCTTCCTTCCTTCCTTCTTGCTTGGATTTCACCCTCCTACCACCAAAAGATATTAAATAAAAACAAAGGACAAAGAAATTCAAAATTGTCAAAATCATCCATCTTTTCCACTCAATTCCTCATCAAACCATGTTCCAAAAATGAGAATAGAAAATTTGCACTAATAAGCCCAGACAACTGAAACATAAATGCAGTGTTGTACTTTGATCCATTGCCACATTCATCATCTTGGAAAAGTGGGCAGAAAAGACAAAAAGCCAAATTTTAAGGATCTTTTTCCTTTTATGTGTATCTCCTGCGAAGGGTTGCTAAGCAAAGTGAACCGCGCGCGGGGCCAAGAAAGAAATGCTTTAAAGCAGATGTTGTGGACATTTAGCATCCTCGCAGACCCTGGGCGCCTTACCTTCCTGTTTTCATCAGAGGAGAGGAAACGTTATCGTGGTGATCCCTCAAGCTCAGATGGACTATTGACAGGATAACTGCTTAGGAGCAGTATTGTGGAGAGGAATTAACATTTTTTTCTGTCTCCAAGAAGCAAGGAAGGGGTGGGGGTGTGGAGAACAACATTTATGTGAAGAGCAGCTTAGCTTTGAAGTTACAGATATGTACTCTGACTATAGCTATTACATTTCATCCTGCCAAATTAAAAAACAAAAACAAAAAACAATGTATATATGTATGTATGTGCTGCATATACTCCAGGTTAAGGGTCGTCACTAAAGTGGTGACATGTTTGAAGTACATGACGTGTAAAACATGTCAGCCTTTCTTGACCCCGTCTGCCCAGACTGTGACTCCTCCGGCCCCCCAAAGACCTGAGGATGAGACATGGGGGCGGCCGCGCCGGGGGATTCCCTGCGCTCTGGGACCTCCAGCCGCTTGGATTCCGGGAGAGGAAGCCGAGTGTCTCCCCTCCCCCCAAGGGAATCCGCCGAGGCACCGGGTCCGGAAAGCTCCGGATCAAAGACTGGGAGAAAGGGAATCTGGCGCAAATTGCATTCTGGACCTGAGGGACTGAGGAAGGTGAAGCGGATGATCGGAGCAAGAAGGGGGTCAATTCGCTTTGCACCCGCCTTGGGGAAGCCGAGGGCAGCTTCCCAGGTTTCCAATTTTCTCATTTGCGTGGGTAAAACTCCTGCCCCCACTCGGGTCTTACGCAATTAAATAGGGGGAGGGGGAGAGTTGGGGTTTTTTTTTTTTTTTAAAAAGCGGAAACAAATAGTCATGTCGTCACGTGGGCTTAGTTTTCACTCATAAAAGGAAGGTTCTCTCCGTTAGCTTCCAGTTGTCAAACAACTTGCAGCGAGCGTCAGGAAACGCACGGGAACTTCGCACAGCGCCACCTCCAGCTCCGCGGCGGGAGCCCAAATACGGCAACGCCTCCGCCCGCCCGCGCTCCGCCCGTCGCTGAGATGCTTGCCCGCGCCTTGCTGCTCTGCGCCGCCCTGGCGCTCTGCCGTGCAGGTGGGTCTGGCTCCCTGCACCGGGGAACCCTCGGTACCGTAACCCCGGACGAGGTTCCGCTCTGACCTCCCGGGTCCTCCCGGTACTGTGAACAGTCCCGGAATGGAGACGATGTTTGACTTGGTAAAGAGGTTGCACCATTGGAGTCCAAGGGAACTGGGTGTATATTCCACCTTTTGCTACAAGCTCTGATCATCATGAGCCAGTTACTTAACCGGTGTGGGTCTCACGTTTCTCATCTTGCTAAATAGGAATAGTGATACTAATTTGCAGATTGTTATTACGGTAAGACAGGAACAATCAATGTATGTGAAATGTTTGTGTGTGGTGCCTACTATTAGAGAATAGGAATCAATATTTTAAAAACAAGCTGTTTTGGGGGCGCCTTGGTGGCGCAGTCGGTTAAGCGTCCGACTTCAGCCAGGTCACGATCTCACGGTCCGTGAGTTCGAGCCCCGCGTCAGGCTCTGGGCTGATGGCTCGGAGCCTGGAGCCTGTTTCCGATTCTGTGTCTCCCTCTCTCTCTGCCCCTTCCCCGTTCATGCTCTGTCTCTGTCTGTCCCATAAATAAATAAAAAACGTTGAAAAAAAAATTTAAAAACAAGCTGTTTTTATATTGAAATTTACCCTATATTGAAATTTACCCTAAATTTACCCTTTAATTTTGAAAGTGCTACTTTTTTGAGCTCCTTAAAAATGCTGAACATCTAAAATGTTACTAAGAAAAAGCTTAGCAACATGACTAATGTGGTTGAATATTGTTACCCTTATTGTTGAATGGGAGTTGGTATTTTCATTATGATCATTTTATGTGACAGGTTAAAAAAACTTTTCCCATGACTACATGTATGTTTCTTGAATTTATTAATATAAAGTTGACCTATAGTATGTAAAACAACTAAATGTTTAAGTCAAAATTAAGAAACTAAATGACTTATATACTGTCCTTACTTTTATTGTAGCAAATCCTTGCTGTTCCAACCCATGCCAAAACCAAGGTATATGCCTGAGCATAGGATTTGACCAGTATAAGTGTGACTGTACCCGAACAGGATTCTATGGTGAAAACTGTTCAACACGTAAGTTTGCCCTTGGGTGCCCTCATTGGGACTGGGAATGTATCCAGTTATCACTTTACAAACTAGTACCTTATAATGGGTCCTGTTAATCTCTCCTTTTTTTTTTTCCTTCTTTTTTGCAGCTGAATTTCTGACAAGAATAAAGTTATTCCTGAAACCCACTCCAAATACAGTGCACTACATACTTACCCACTTCAAGGGAGTCTGGAACATTGTCAATAACATTCCCTTCCTGCAAAATATAATTATGAAATATGTGTTGACATGTAAGTACAAGTCCCTTTCTAAGGTTTTTAGCTTCCTCAAAGAAAAATGCACTTTATAGAACTTTAAGTTATTAAACCTAATCCTGAAATATATTTTCATTCTTGTTATAAAATGACTTTAGTTTTCCTTCTATCTTAATGGCCAAAAATATTGACATCTCAGTTTCATCTGGTTTAGAAAGTTCTGTCTCACTTCGAATTCTACGTACAATCCTGTACACCTCTTCTAAATTCACTACTCTTGCCAGTTTGTGAAGGAAGTGTGGTCCACTTGTTTACTAAATGTCCATGGGCCATAGCATTGCATCCATTAAAATAAATGGTTAATCTGGATTTGGGTGAGCAAGAAAATAACTTTCTTTCTAAAGTGGGTTTCATGCCCAGGTATTCCTTCGTAGGCCTCTTATGCAGTAAGTAGATGATTATTTGAAAACTCAAGATGGCTAGATCATGTTTGGGTAAAGTATATATACTTTATTAAAGATGCATTTTATTTTATTTTTTTAATGTTTATTTTTGAGAGAGACAGAGCATGAGCAGGGAAGGGATAGAGAGAGAGGGAGACACAGAATCCGAAGCAGGCTCCAGGCTCTGAGCCTGATGTAGGGCTCAAACTCACTAACCCGGGGGTCATGACCTGAGCCAAAGTGGAAGCTTAACCCACTGAGCCACCCAGGTGTCCCAAAGTGCATTTTAATGAATCATTCTTTCTGATTTTTTTAGTACAAGCAGCAGTGAGACTTTAAAGTGTAACTGTTTTACAATGGGTTATCTTTGGTTGTTGGAATTCAGTTCAGTCTTTAGTGCCACTTTGCCCATTTTACAGTAAAAATGAACGTTGGTGTGTCTTGAGTATGGGAAAAAATAAAACAAAATTTTTGTTTTCTTGAAAATTTCAGCCAGGTCACATTTGATCGAGAGCCCACCAACTTACAATGTGGACTATGGCTATAAAAGCTGGGAAGCCTTTTCCAATCTCTCCTATTATACCAGAGCTCTTCCCCCTGTGGCTGATGACTGCCCAACACCCATGGGTGTGAAAGGTGAGTGTGTAGGGGGGGTTGAGAGGTGTTCATTGCAATAGGGACTAGATTGCTACCTAAAAAATTCAACACTGAACTGTAATTTGTTAATAAAAGCACTTTTTTTTTTTTTTTTTTTTTTTTTTTTTTTTTTTTTTTTTTTTTTGCTTTCTTATTGGGTATCTGTGGAGGGTTTTTGTTTTGTTTATTGTTGTTGTTTGATTGGTTTGTTTTGTTTTGTTTTGTTTTTTGAGAGTGTGACTTTCTGTAAACTATCCTATGAAAGTGAATGGGCATTTTGGTGTAATGTCTTCATGTTTTCAAATTCTTTCATTAATACTAAATTAATACTAGTTAAAATACTAGTTAAAATAGATAACATCATTCAATAAGGTGTTCCCTGTATCTTAGAATTTCCATTTGCATTATAACCCTGTTCACAATTGTATTTCTCCCACAAGTCCCCATTTACTATCTGCTTCCTTAATATGTAGATGAATTCTTATCTTAGCTTTCTCACTTTTCAGGCAAGAAAGAGCTTCCTGATTCAAAAGAGATTGTGGAAAAATTTCTTCTAAGAAGAAAGTTCATTCCTGACCCCCAAGGCACAAATATGATGTTTGCATTTTTTGCCCAACACTTCACCCATCAATTTTTCAAGACAGATCATAAGCGAGGACCAGCTTTCACCAAAGGACTGGGCCATGGGGTAAGACAGAATTAAATTGGAATTATAGCAAAAATCATACTGAGTGCTAATATTAAAGGCCATATATATATATTTGCTACACCAAATAATTACCCCTCTTTTTAAAAAATCCCCTGTCTATAAATGGAATTTCTATTCCAGAAATGTGTATTAATGGAATTTCCATTTTAATTCACTGGCTTAGTAAAAATACACACATGCACACACACATACATACATACAGATGTTATAATTATTTGTAATTTGGCTCTTATATTTTTAGTTTAAAATATTAGCACTGTAAAAACTTGTCTCTTCAAACTTTTGTTGGTACCCTGATTATGCTGCTATTATGAGATTTTTGCTGCATTATTATTCCTTGGAATTCAATGACACAGTTTCAATTTATCAGTAAGAATTTTATATTAATAATACATTTTCTGATGCTTATTAAAAGAAATACCATACACTTATAGTAAAGCATATTATATACTTATAGCCTCCATATGAGATACAAATATCTTTAAACACAAGAGACATATATAGGTTTGTGGTGTCAGTGGATAAACGAATTAATTTAGTATTTTGTGGCTGTGAGAAAAATAGATATTTTATCAAACTATTTAATGATAAATGATATTACAGACACTTTGTAGAACTTCAACGGTAACAAATAAAATTTTTCCATAATCTTCCAGGTGGACTTAAGTCATGTTTATGGTGAAACTTTGGATAGACAGCATAAACTGCGCCTTTTCAAGGATGGAAAAATGAAATACCAGGTGTGTGCCATTTGAGTATTAAGAATTAATGATGAGTCACCACTTACCCATATTTTAGAATCTGTAGTGGTTAAAATTTGACATTTTTATTATTGTTATTTTTTTAGATAATCGATGGGGAGGTGTATCCTCCCACAGTCAAAGATACTCAGGTCGAGATGATCTACCCACCTCATGTTCCTGAACACCTGCGGTTTGCTGTGGGCCAGGAGGTCTTTGGTCTGGTGCCTGGTCTGATGATGTACGCCACAATTTGGCTGCGGGAACACAACAGAGTGTGTGATGTGCTTAAACAGGAGCATCCAGAATGGGATGATGAGCGGTTGTTCCAGACGAGCAGGCTAATACTGATAGGTAAACAAGAAGAGAAGTGAATTTAAATAAAACCCTCTTCCCCAGAGACAACTAGTTACCTTTGATATGTTTTAAGTAGTTCTGGGAGACTGTAGTCAATATAAAATCACATGCTCCAGATGAATTCAATCCTTGAGCATGATTGGTAATAGAAATACCTTTTGTTTGGATGGTATAAAGGAAAAAATACAAGTGAATACTGGATTAACAGAATTGCATTTCAGCTGCTTGAAAGTTGGTAACCAGAGGATTAATGCTCTAATTTTTTTGTTTTGTGTAAATAGGAGAAACCATTAAGATTGTGATTGAAGACTATGTACAACACTTGAGTGGCTATCACTTCAAACTGAAGTTTGACCCAGAGCTGCTTTTCAACCAACAATTCCAATACCAAAACCGTATTGCTGCTGAGTTTAACACACTCTACCACTGGCATCCCCTTCTGCCTGACACCTTGCAAATAGATGACCAGGAGTACAATTTCCAGCAGTTTGTCTACAACAACTCTATATTACTGGAACATGGGCTTACCCAGTTCGTGGAATCATTCAGCAGGCAAATTGCTGGCAGGGTAAGCCTTATTATTGAAAAACGAAACAAAGGATTAGTAACTAGAATTTCTGCCACTGAAATGATTTTTCTTAAATTTACTGAAAGAGTAATTATTTTGTTAGTGAATTCTTTTCTTGAAAAAGAAGCCTACCTTTTTTTTGAAAAGTCTGAACTTGTAGTCTACAGTTATCAAACAGAAATATGCAGTCATCCCTTAAATATATTTTCAAAAACTTTCTATAATTATACAATCTATAGATCATAGAAATAAATATTCCTTAATTTTTTTAATGTGTATTTAGTTTTGAGAAAGAGAAAGGCAGAGTATGAGAATCCAAAGCAGAGAGCCCGACGTGGGGCTTGAAGTCATGAACTGTGAGATCACGACCTGAGATGGAGCTGTATACTCAACCCACTGAGCCACTCAGGCACCCCTAGAAATAAAATTTCTAAATTGGATAGTGTAGGTCTCAGCTGGGAACATCAGTCTTATCTACTTTGTACCCAAGGAATGAATGTTTTTAAGACAGAAATCACCATAAATATGCCTAAAAGTTTTGTCCTGTAACTTAATTCATTTTCCATAGGTTGCTGGTGGTAGGAATGTTCCAGCTGCAGTGCAGCAAGTAGCAAAGGCCTCAATCGACCAGAGCAGACAGATGAAGTACCAGTCTCTTAATGAGTATCGCAAACGCTTTCGGCTGAAGCCCTATACATCGTTTGAAGAACTCACAGGTGAGAAACTTCTTAAAAGAATCAAGGGTCAAATGGAAACAACAGAGAAGTTGAAAGCAAATTGAGCAAAGGATTAAAAGGATTAAAACGTTTTTTTGGTGAAGTTTTACATTGGTTGTATATCTGTCTTTGTCACCTTCACAGGAGAGAAGGAAATGGCTGCGGGGTTAGAAGCACTTTATGGTGATATTGATGCCATGGAGCTGTATCCTGCCCTTCTGGTAGAAAAGCCTCGCCCTGATGCCATCTTTGGTGAGACCATGGTAGAAATGGGAGCACCATTCTCCTTGAAAGGACTTATGGGTAATCCTATATGTTCTCCTGACTACTGGAAGCCTAGCACTTTTGGTGGAGAAGTAGGTTTTAAAATCATCAACACTGCCTCGATTCAGTCTCTCATCTGCAATAACGTGAAGGGCTGTCCTTTTACTGCATTCAGTGTTCAAGATCCACAGCTCACCAAAACAGTCACCATTAATGCAAGCTCTTCGCACTCTGGACTGGATGATATCAATCCCACAGTACTGCTAAAAGAACGTTCAACTGAACTGTAGAAGGGTATTAATCCTATTTATTTATTTATATGGACTATTTCTTTTAACTTAATTATTTAATATTTATGTTAAACTCCTTATGTTACTTAACATCTTCTGTTAAGGAGAAAGGGGTCATACTTGTGAAGATTTTCATGTCACTGCTTTAAAGATGTCATTCCTTCAGGTTAAAGGGGAAAACAGTTTTCATTCTTTTTTATAAACTGATGGGAAATGAGTTTGACATCCTTTTACTTGAATTTCAGTTTAAATTATTTATAATAACAAAAGCAAAGCTGTTTGGACATTTAAATGCTGGTCCAAGATGGCAAAATGCTGCAAGTTTTTTTTCCAGTGTATACCCTGGGATTTCCAGTGTATCCTCCATGATGCATTAGAAGCAACTACCTGCACCTGTTCCTTTTCTTTTCTTCTGTTAGCCATTGTACTGGGAGAAACTCTCTTCTGATCAGTTTACTCCTTCTATTTTGTTTTCTTGATTTTAAGATCTGAGTTCATCTTTCGGTGGACTCTATTTTCTTTCTTATCATTTCCCTCTGTCTGTGTTTTCGTATCTGAACTTTTGCAAGTTTTCAGGAAAACCTCAACTCAGGACTACTAGTAACTTAGCTCCTCTTAACAAAAATGAAAGAGAAAAAAAAAAAAAACAGCCCTTATAAAAGCCTCTACAAAAGGACATACACTTATTTTAAGTGAAAAGCAGAGAACTTTATTTATAGTTAATTTTAACTAAGTGTAATGGAAGAAGCCTCTTTGTAGGCTTACATGTAGGCTTTGAACGCATTACGGAGAACTGCAGGGGCTTCTTGATAGAGGAAAGTTGTATTTCTATTCTAATGAATGTCCTTTCTTCTTGAAAAACAAAGCCAAACAATTCCTGAATAGTTCCCAGGAAGAACATGTTTCTTCTTTTCCACATCTCATTGTCAGCTGACATTTGCTGGTACTGTATACTACTTAATTTATTGAGGATTATTATTTATGTCTTGTTAGGACGTTATTATAAACTAGGTTTAGGCTGCAATCATTGATTTTTTTTTTTCATTATGTGAGAATCAGTATATCTTCTTTGAGATTAACTCTCTGAATTACTATGTAAACTACAAGAAAAATTATTAGATTAAAATTTCTGAATAAATTTTCAGCAACCCAACTCTGGTATAATGAAATATGGAAGGTTTACCCACACACCAGCCCACAGAGAACACTGTGTCTCATTAGCCTGGATACACCACAAGACTGACCTTTTATACATTTTTTGAAGGACCTGTGGATCCTTCATTAATTCATTCAGCTATAACTTACTGAGGAGATGTGTGCAAAGCACTGTGAGTTTTAATATTTTTAAATCAAGCACTGATTACAGATGACATCAGTATTTGTAAATAATTGCAAAAGCATGTCTTTTAGGTAGAGAAATTGAAATTTCATTAAAGGAAATAACTCAGGGGATTTTTTAAGATTTTATGTTTAAAAATTTCATAGTTAATAAAGAAATGGTCAATATTAGAAGGGCTTGTATTAAAAACTGTTAACTTCATTGATTAAAAAAAAAAAAAAACTTTTATTAACATCAACCTGCTGACCAAACCTAGGAATTTGGAATATAATATACAAAGGTTTTGGTGCCTAAGACAAATGTGTATTTAAATTAACTTAATGTCAAATGTAACTGTTGAAACAAATGCCTGTTTATTTTTATACTATTTAAGAATGGAAAAATCTCTTCTACAATAAATTTTGACTGTTTCCATATATCTTTGTCATAAGACATATGATTTCTCTAAAGCGCCGTACTTAAACCATTGTCTTGCATTCTCCTATCTATTCCAAACTAGACTGAACCTTAATGAAATGGTTCTGCCCTCAGAGAGAGACTTTCTAGGGTCACTATCTATTATTCTTGTTCATTGCAACACTGAATTGGAAAATGTGTGCTTTGTGCTATAGGAGATAGAACCAAACTTGTTTTCATTGCCTAATCTAGAAGAAGGGAAGAAAACCAAGTACACCAAAAGCAAAAAGAAGACAAAATTGCTAAGGAGGTACAAAATTAAAAGGAAGTTCAAAGAGGGGGATGTTATGTTCAGTTGGGCAAATCATTAATACCTGGCTGATGGACTTCTGTTGTACTCCTAATGTTGATATTTTGGTAATATCTACATGGACCACCTACTTAATCCTGCCTGGCTTTTCTCTTCCTTAGCCTTCATTCCTGTGATACCTTCTTCCACCATTTCCTATGATTATCCATACCTTGATCTTATCATCAATTGCTGTACCATTTCCAAAATCTTGGTTTCAAGCATCTTCCTTGACTCACCTTCTAGCTCACCTATTTCAACACTCACACTTTAACATATAACTCTAACTTCACTGAGCCTACTGATCCATTGACCTCATCACTATTCATTACCCCACTTATCTCATTTCCTTCCGTAGGCATCGAGCTCAGTTTCCATTGCCCATCATTATATTCCCTCCTTCATTCTCTCCCTCTTTTGTACTTTACTGGTGCAACGTCATTTCAGCCATCCTCCTAATCGGTTTATTTGACTTCTTACTAGCATTCAACGCAAATGCCTACAGTTTCCTTAGTGAAAGATTTTTTTTTCCCTTGGTTTCATGGTCTGATACTCTCCTGGTCTTTCTCCACCTTCATGGAGTGCTATTACTCAGATTTTTTTTTTTTTAATTTTTTTTTCAACGTTTATTTATTTTTGGGACAGAGAGAGACAGAGCATGAACGGGGGAGGGGCAGAGAGAGAGGGAGACACAGAATCGGAAACAGGCTCCAGGCTCCGAGCCATCAGCCCAGAGCCCGACGCGGGGCTCGAACTCACGGACCGCGAGATCGTGACCTGGCTGAAGTCGGACGCTTAACCGACTGCGCCACCCAGGCGCCCCTCAGATTTTTTAAAAAAAATCTCTTCATCCTCCATTGTATAAATTGAAATCTCTTGATCCCCCTCTTTATCTGCCCTTATCTGGGTTAATCCCATACACACTCATAAATTGAGACATTAATTATAACTCCCAAATTTATGGCTGTAGAACCAATCTCCCAACTGTCAATGATAACCTATCCACTCAACCACATAAATTTAATAGCTTATTTTATAATCTCTGCCCTCTTGGCACCATATACCCAAAATAATAATCTTCAAAAGTTAGGTATACCACCATCTTCTTGTTCTCAAGCAAAAACCTCTCTTTTCATAATGCCCTTAGCCAATCCAGCAGCAATCTTGTTGACTCTAACCCACAAACAAATCCTACACCTGTCACCCTTTCTCTAACTCCAATACTACCAACCTAGTTGATGCAATTATCTCTCAATTGGTTTCCCTTCTTTTATTCTTTGCCTCATTCCAAACCATTTACCTTATAGCAATGAGACTGGTCATTTTCAAACATACATCAGATCGTGTTCCTCTCCTATTTGAAAAAGAGTGACTTCCTATTACACAGTGGACAAATCCAAACTCTTAACTATATCCTAGAAAATCTCAGTGATCAGTCCCCTGCCTAACTACCCAATCTCATCTACCATAATTTCCTACCCTTGTTCACTGTGTTCCCACCACAACATTTTTCTGATTAGCTTACCACCAAGGGTTCTCAAGCTGTTGCCCCTGTTTAGAAAATTCCTTCTTCATATTTCCACATGGTTGGATCCTTCTCAACACCCAAATCTTGGCTCAAATTTCCCCTCTTAGAAAGGCCTCCTCCAAACACCTAAACTAAAGCAACTACTAAAGCTCTTTCATCTTCTTTCTGGCATTTATTTCTGTTATTACCTTGATTTGTATGTTTACTTATTATCTGTGTCCCATCACTAGAATTTCATGTCCAAGAAAGTAACAACCTGGTTTGCATCATTCACTGCTCTCAGAACAGTGTCTGATACTTAAAAGACATCACAAAATACTCAATAAGTGCTTAAGAGTAGGTTTCATGAAAGAAGCAGAATATGTGTTGATTCTTGAAGGAAGAGTAAGATCTTAGAAAGCAAAATATCCACTCTATAAAAATAGTTTGGCAGTTTCTTCTAAAACTAAAAATTCTCTTACCACGTATATTAGTATTCTATTCATGCTATGACAAATTACTACAAACTTCATGGATTAAAACAACAAAAATTTATTATCTATAGTGCTGGAGGTCAGAAGTAAGAAATAGATTGTATGAGTTAAGATCAAGGTATCATCAGGGCTGTGTTTCTTCTAGAATCGTTAGGGGAGAATCTGTCTCTCACCTTTTCTAGCTTCCAGAAACCACCCACATTACTTGGCTCATGCTCCCTTTCTCTATCTTCAAAGCCAGAAGGGCATCATCTTTTAATATCTCTGACCCTGATCCTCTTGCCTCCCTCCCATAAGAACACTTTTTATCACTTTGGGCGCATGAAGGTAACCCAGGAAAATCTCTCTTCCTCAAGATCCATAATTTTTTTCCACATATACAAAGTCCTTTGTGTCATGTAAAGTAACATATTCACAAGTTCTAGGGATTGGTGCATGGAACTCTTTGAAGGACCATTATTTTACCTACCACATTATACAATCCAGTAATTGTGCTCTTGAGCATTTATCCCAGAAAAAAATCATGCAAAAGTCTCTACATGAAGGTTCATAGCAACTTTATCCATAATAGCCCCAGGCAAAATAATTCAGATATCTTTCAAAAGGTTAATGGTTAAACAAACTGGGGCAAACGGTGGTATATCCATATCATGGAGTACTATGCAGCAAAACAAATACAACTATTGATACATAAAACAAGTTGGATGGAACTCAAAGGAGTTATGTGAATGAAAAAAAACAAAGCCAGTCTTTCAAGTTACCTATTCTATGATTCTCTCTATATATAACATTCTTGAAATAACAAAACTATAAGGAAAGAAAACAGATCTGTGGTTACCAGATTAGAAATTTCAAGGTAGCTATAGTTATAAAAGGGTAGCATGAGGGAGACTTGTGCTGATTGAATATTTTTGCAACTTGATTGAGGTGGTAGTTACACAAAGCTACATATGTGCCATAATGGCATAGAACTATGCACACACACTCACACAAATACATGTATGAATGGGGAAATCTGAATAAGAGCCATGGATTGTACCAAGGTAAATTTCCTAATTTTGATATTGGACTATAATTATGTAAGATGTCAAAATTAGAGGAGGTGATATGAAGGTTGCATGGTACCTCCCTGTACATTTCTTTGAAACATCGTATGAATCTATAGTTATCTCAAAATAAAAAGTTAAAAGAAAAAAGGAAGAGATGTGATGCTATTCTTGGTGGCAAGAATAGGGTTATAGGCCATTTTTATATCATTTAGTTTTCCTAACCCTTATCCTAGACAATAGGATTGCCCTATCCTAGGACAATAGATTATCCTAGAGTGGACACCCAACCAAACTGGGAAAGTAAAATTCTCTCTCACATAGTACTTGTATTGCAAGACATCGTTTGTTTATCAAGTTAAAATTTATTAGAAATGTTTGCTTCTCTTGCGGAACACTCTCAGAACAAGTTACTCACAATCCAAAGTTTTACTGTATATAGACATAGATAGATATCTTCGACATGTGTTAGAACTTATTTAATAATTGTATTTCAAAAACTTAATATCACAGACTTAGGAAACCCAGAGCTGCTTTATTTCCTATAGTTATCAACAAAGCTGAGGTTAAAAAAAAGAAAGATTAGAAATAACAATTGTTTCCCAATTCCATCTCCAATTCCAATGTACTATTAAGGACTCAAACTTTTACAGAGCTTAGCCACAGTCTGGCTATGAAGTAGAGGGGAGTTGTTTAAGATAAACAGTAAACAGTTTGATAAATCACTTACTGCTTTTTAATTCAGACATAAGTCATTACTTCAAGGACTCTCAATAATTGGCATTCAAAAGTGACCGGATTGCTTTCATTGTAATAACTAATTTAAATGCAGGGCGCCTGTGTGGCTCCACCACTGGTTGAGCCTCCAACCCTGGGTTTCACAGTTGGTGAGTTCAAACCCCTCCTGGGACTCCGTGCTGACAGCATGGAGCCTGCTCGGAATTCTCTGTCTCCTTCTCTCTCTCCCCCTCCTCCACTTGTACACACACTCTCCGTCTCTCAAAATAAATAAACATTAAGAAAAATACATGTTTAAAAAATAATAATAATTAATTTAAATGCCTAAATTAAGCGAAATTTATTTCAGCATTCTACGTAAATTACTCAGAAAACTAAACGGTCAAATTGCCTTTGAGCTGAAGCCATGGAAAAACTTCAGAGAAAAGATCGTTATTTGATAAAATAAAGATCACAGGAACAGTTATCTTCAGTTTACTTCCCAATTTGTTTCCTAGATGTCTCATCACTGAAACCAAACGAAAGAAGTTTAAGATTCGAGTTGGTCTTGTGCCTCAGCCTCTAATGCTTCCACTTCCCCTGCCTCTGTGTCTTCCTGCAAGTGAACCCTGTCCAGAGAGACTCACTTGCTCTTTCATGTTCCTGATTGTTCCTAATAGGTGATGTGGAAGCATCATAGCGTGACTTTCCCTGGCTATTACTCAATACCTGTGCATGATGACAACATTCACAAAACACAGGGTGGGGTATATTTTACATGCTCTTGAAGGAGTGTTTTCCACTTACACAGTACTCAGAAAGAAGCCAGAAGAAAGGCCAATTGGGTAAACAATCTTTCTCTCTAAGCAAAAAACAGTTGGAGATGATGCAAAGGGGAAGAATGTTTCTCTCACCCACACCCTGAAACCTACCACTTAAAATGTAAATTTCCTGTAACATTCTCATGGTGTATTTTATATAGACTTGACAACACCATTGAGTAATGTGCTAAACATCAGGCTACTGAAACGCTGTTTAAGTTGGAAGAAGCCTGCTTCAAAGACAGAGAATGAGAGCCTTTGAATCTCAGAAACACTGTAATTGTATTAAAGCTCCAACTTTGGGGAATTGAACATCAAATAGATTGCTGTGGCTGCCCCTTATCTCGTATTAATTCTCTTTACTTATTTAAAAGGTGATATGTATCAAAAATATTCTTAATAAAGTGAATTAGCATAAATAGATTAACTCAGAACGTGACTTCTATTTTATGTTTAAAAATTTATGGCATCACTTGAAATAGCCAGAGATATTCATGGGAATTATAAAACAATTGTGAATTTCTAGACTAAATTACTGAGATCTTACAGGTCCAGAACATGACTTTTCACATTCCTGATGATAATAACATGGTGGTGAACTGGCTAGATGCTTACCGCCAGGGCATGGACTTTGCAGTCAGGCGAACCTGGGCTCTTCCAATGTCAGCAGTGTGGTTACTAAGAGTCCCATGTTCCTCACCTTTAAAAAGGTAAAATGGAGACAGTTATGCCTACTGTAACTCTAGGCAAATGACTTTTTTTTTTTTTTGGTTTTTGGTTATTTGTTTTTTATTTTTATTTACTTTTTTCTTTCTTTTTTTTTTTTTTCTTTTGAAAGAGAGAGAGAAAGAGAGAAAGAGAAATAGTCCCAAGCAGGCTCCACGTTCAGCATGGAGCCACACCTGGGGCTCGATCCCACAACCCCTCATGACCTGAGCCAAAATCACGAGTCGGACACTCAACTGACTAAGCCACACAGGCGCCCCCTCTTTTTTTTTTTTTTTTTTAATTTCTCCATTTATATAATAAATAATGTTAATGATAGCATTGCACTGAGAAAATAAATCAGAAACAGTGGAAGTAATTTGAGGTTTTAACATTGACTTTCTGTGACATGAAGAATCAGAAATCTCTCTGAGTTTCATTTTCTTCAGTTTAGAGAAGGCTACATCATCTCACATCTGACTCCTAAGTTAACTTAATAACTACACATCCTGTAGTAACAATATACTTCTTGCTTTCTCAGTCAGTTTAATGGGTATAAGAGACTGGGTATAAGAAGGTTTACAGCTCAGGAAATGTCTATCCTGTCATACTATTATAAGAAACATTACTTAAAGTGTTTTTTACCTTGGTAGTTGTGGTAGACAGAATCATGCCCCCCACCTCCCCAAAGTTGTCCAAGTACTAATTACCGGAATCTGTCATATATTACATAACAAAGGCTGTGGATGGAATGAAGGTTGCTAATCATCTGACCTTAAAATAGAGATCATCCTGGATTACCTAATGCAATCATAAGAGACCTTTTATGTGAAAGAAGGAGGCAGAAGAGTCAGTGTCAGAGTGATGCAATATAAGACTTGACCAGCTATTACTGAAGATGGAAGAGAACCAAGGATGCAGGAACTTGGGAAGCCTGTATAGCTGGAAAGGGCAAGAAAACCTCTTCTCCCCTAGAGCCTCCAGAAAGGAAGGCACACCTCAATTTTAGCTCAGTGTGACCCATTTAGGACTTCCAAACTATAGCTCTGTGAGATAATAAATTCGAATTGTTACAGCAGCTGTAGGAAACTAACATAGTAGTTGCTGAGGACAGAGAAGAATAGATGGGGAGTAATGGGACCCACCTCTTATACTGGGAAGTATGTATATAAATTACTCAACATAGATACATACAGATGGTCCCCCACCTACAATGATTCAACTTAATGATTTTTCAACCTTATGATAGTGCAACAGTGATGTGCATTCACGAGGAATTGTACTTCAAGTTATGAATTTTGATATTTTCCTGAGCGATGCTCTCTTGTGATGCTAGGCAGCAGCAGTGAGCTACAGCTCTCAGATGTAATCACATTATAAGTCAAGAAGGATTTGTACAACAAATTGTATATTGCATGTTGAACTCAGTCTCTTTCTAGTACATGTTAATGTTATGGTCCCTTTTGGACCTGCTTCTTGTATCCCACATAGACTGGGAGGGTATGTGCTTCTTGCTTCAAGGCCCTTGTTATTTGTCTTAGGTCTTGTCTTACACATTTGCTTTAAGTATAATCTTTAAGCTCATATAATCATCAGTGAATTGAATTTCTTCAGAGATTTCCCCTTTTTTTGGATTCTTGCTGCAAAAACTGGCTGTAGAGTTGATCATCTTTCTTACCTTTAGGCTCACTCTCTGCTATTTCTCTTTCAGATCAATCCCAGTCTATGTGTATGAATTGGAGGAGATTTTAAAGAACAATGTAGAATTTCTTTCTTGAAATTAAAATTGAAGATGAAAGCTTCTATGTTTATTGTAGCATTATTTATAATAGCCAAGGTATGGAAGCAACTCAGGTATCCAACGATAGATGAATGGATAAAGAAGATGTGTATATATACATGGTGGAATATTACTCAGCCATAAAAAAGAGATCTTGCCATTTGTGTCAACATGGATGGACCTAGAGGGTATTGTGCTAAGTGAAATAAGTCAGACAAAGAACAATATCATACAATGTTACTTGTATGTGGAATCTAGTATATGTGCTGCCGAAGCGAGCACACTTGTATGTGGAATCTAAAAACCAAAACGAATAAACAAAGCAACCAAAAGCAGAAATAGACCCATAAATACAGAGAACAAACTGATGGTTGCCAGAGGGGAGGATGGGCAATGTGGGTGAAGGGGAGTGGGGGGAGTAGGAGATACAGCCTTCCAGTTATGGAATGAATAAGTCATGGGATAAAAGGCACAGCACAGGGAATATAGTCAACAGCATTGCATGGTAGCAGATGGTAGCTATACTTGTGATGAGCATAGCATAGTACAGAGTTGTTGAATCACTATTATATATCTGAAACTAATGTAACATTATGTGTCAACTATACTTCAATTTTTAAAAAATTGAAAATGAAAGCCTCCACTTGTCCACTTGCAAAATAAGTGCAACACTGCTAAATTTCATCCTTTCCCCAACATAATGTCAACTCATAATGAGAAAAAAACTGATTAGATACTTCATGCCCAATATCCTGCAGCTTTAATAAGGTTCAGAAGGAGGCAAGTCAAACTGGGCATAGTGAAATTAAAAAAAAAGTTTTTAGAGTCAGAAAAAAATTGTGTGTTCAATAAATTTACCTCTCTTCAACTCTTCCTTATTATTCTGTGTTTTACTGAGTCTTTTTTACAGAATTATGGTATTCATTTTTCTATTCTTAGCATGAAGCTCAGTACTTTAAACATCCAAAATACCTCTTACTAGCTTTTTTTTGAGTGGATATGCCACATCCACCCTCAAAAGAGACTTTCAAACCAGAAAACTACATCACTCTGGTAAGATAGAGTCTTACCATAGTCTGTCATAGTGCTGTCATAGGCCGTTTTTAAATCTGATAAAAGCTATGCACCTAAAATAAAAAAATAGGAACAACACAAAAATTGTCACACAGTTTCAAATAGTTCTTTAAGCTCTTGAACATGACCCAAGTTAAGAATCTTAGGGCAGTGGATTATTCTGTAGTAGAAGGGAATCTGTAACAACTTAGAAAAGACTGAGGAGACATATACAAGGAGGGAAGGTAGTAATGTCCCAGAAAATGCTTTCAACTGAGAATCAAGTTTTCCCATGAATTTACTTAACAAGTTATTTAAAAGGTTTTTGGTAGAAAACACCAAAGGAAAGCTTTATCTTCATAATTTTTAGGTCTCTTTTAATCTTGAGTTTCCCATCATTCTCTATGGATCTTTTTCTGGTTTATAAAGCAAGGGGGGTGCTGTTATGCACTGAATGTATCTTCCCCAAATCCGTATGTTGAAGTTCTAACCCCAAGTGTGGCTATAGTTGAAGATGGTGCCTCTAAGTGAGTCATTAAAGTTAAACAAAGTCATGAAGTTGGGGTCCTGATCTAATAGGATTATCTCTAGTTGGTACATCCAGAAATGGAATATTATTCAGTGCTAAAAAGAAAGGAGATATGAAGCCATGAAAAGACATGGACAAACCTTAAATGCATATTGCTAAGTGAGAAGGTGGCCTTCTATAAACCAGGAAGAGAACCTTTATAAGTAACCGACTTGGCTGGCACTTTGACCTTGAACAGTGAGAAATAAATTTCTGTTGTTTAAAAGACTCAGTCTGTAGTATTTTGTTATGGCAGCCCAAGCTGACTAATACAGTTGGAAAAACCCTGAGATTTTAGTATAGTTCCTATTTCCATAATGGAATGAATCTCTACTTAGTCAAATCTAGGTCCAAGAAGCAACTATAGATGGGCATACCTTGCATCTTTTGCAAAATTATTCCTTGGGGTGTCCCATATTAGGTTTCCTATATTTGGTAGACTTTACTGTCTCTGAATATACCTTTACCAATGAGAAAAAAAATGTGTGCCATATTGATTAATTATTTAGAAAGAAGGATGCATCATTTAAAATGCCTTTGAATGTATCACTTTAACACAGTGGTCTCAATATAGCAATGTGAATCACTATCTTTCCTTGGCATTTTTTTTAATTAAAAAAATTTTTTTTAATGTTTATTTTTCAGAGAGAGACAGAGAGAGACAGAGCACAAGTGGGAGAGGGGTAGAGAGAGAGGAAGACACAGAGCTGTCAGCAGAGGTCCAGTCAGGAGGCCCAAACTCAGGAACAGCGAGATCATGACCTGAGCTAAAGTTGGTCACTTAACCAACTGAGCCACCCAGGCACCTCTATTCCTTGTCATTTGTAATCAAAAAGTTGACGAACAGGATTGTTCTTGCATCCACAGTCATGGCTAGGTTAGGACATTCTAATGTCTTAAATGAAGGAAAATATGATAACTTGAAAAAAAAGATTATTTTTACGGAAAATGTACCAATAAAATGAACACATTTAACAAATATTCTATCAGGTGCCTCCTCTTTCAGTTACTTGATAGTTATCTTAAAATCCTTTTTTTCCTTTGCATTATGAGACAATAAACCTAAAAACAAAAAATTTTTAAATCACTGAAAACACATCCTTGAACCATGCCAACAACTTTTGTGTTGTAAAATGGTTTCAACAATTACATGTTCACCTCTCTAAATTTTTTTTTTAATTTTAGGTAGAAAACTTTCATTAAAAATTTTCCAATCTAGGGGCGCCTGGGTGGCTCAGTTAGGTAAGCATCTGACTGTGGATCTCAGCTCAGGTTATGATCTCACATACATCGAACCTTGTATCAGGCTCTGGGCTGACAGTGTGGAGCCTGCTTGGGATTCTCTGTCTCCCTCTTTCTCTGTCCCTCCCTTGCTCACACTCTCTTTCTCTTAAAAAGAAATATACTTTAATTTTATTAAAAAAAACATTTCCAATCCAATGACAAAAATTGTTCAACTTCGTGAATAAAGTAGTAAGCCTGTAGAATAGCTACATGTCATGGACATTCACTATATCACTCAAAATAAAACATATGGGGGGGGCACCTGGGTGGCTCAGTCAGTTGAATGTCCAACTTTGGCTCAGG